AGTCAGTCGATAGTACGCCCCTCAGTGTCCATACTTTAGACCACTCAACCCAGACACCACAGAGGAAGCAAGACACCACCCCTATTCCTGAAAAGACCAGTAAGTTAGTTAAGAATAGGAGGAAAAGACGCTCCAAGGCTCGGTCGACACAGAAACAGCATAAGGAAGACTGTTTTGCCTGCTCATCACCAGTCAAAACCAGCGACCATGCTTTCAAATTCAACTTCTGCAGTACATGGGTACATTGTCACTGCGACAATACAGTACCTAAAGAGTACTACGGTTTCATGCTGAGTCACCCCTGCCCATGGTTCTGGTACATCTGCCCTCGGTGTAGAGTTTCTGAGGCACTGACAAAGCCACAGGTCCCACCTAAAATCAGCCCCAAAGTCCAAACGACCAAAGCAAAATCGCCTGGCACTAAACCAGTAAAACAAGTGACCAAGGCTACCACAACCCTGCCTAACACACCGACAAAACTGCCGGTTGTTGTTAACCCCCCAGTATCTGCCAGCAACACGAAACAATGGGTGAACGTGAAGAAGGGAAAGAGCAACACCCCAACTCACAAGCAGCCTCCACCCAAGACCAGGGACGACAGATCTAATTCATTTATCTTATTTAATGTCCCAGTGTCGGAAGGAAGCTTGCTATAAGGTAGGGCTGCCTTCGACAAAGAGCAATGGGATAAACTCTGCTCAACCCTCGGAATGTGCGAGGTCCCAGCCAAAATATGCCGCCTTTTCAAAGGCCAAAATGTCTCGAAAGGAAAACCCCCTCCAATGAGGGTAACTCTTGACTCGGCACGACTTGCTGAAGACATAATCCTTTCATCCCAAAGACCATCGGTCAAATTGTCCTCGCTGATTCGTATCAGGCATGACAAGCCGTGGTCGGTACGTGCAGCAGCCAGAACTGCACCAGACACCCAAGAACAGACCACCATGGTAGTTCACGGCATACCCGAACTCACCAGCGGTAACCCGGACGAAGCACACGAGCACGATGTGCAACAGTGGCGATGGCTATCGCGTAGCCTATCCCTCCACACCACGATGGCAGTCTGCATTCCCAGTTTGCCCCGCCCGTCACACCTTACGTCTATCAAGTCACCACGCCTGATGGCTGTAACATTTAGGAACCGGGAAGACCTGACCGAAACACTACAAGCTTGGTACAGTTCGAAGAACGATCTGCCTAGCCACATGAGATGTTGTGAGGGCCGACCTAGATCTGTAAGACAACAACAGGGAGGCCAAAATGAACGCACACAACTGATAGTTAAACTCGGTCAACTACCTTTGGCACAAGATATGAGTGAACCAACCGCGCAGGCAAAAAACCTGCAGAGGCCAGTTCGCACAGAACTGGCCGATTCGGTTTAAATAACTTGTCTGAAAACCCGACAAAGGCTGCTGCTGCAAATGTGCACTAGGTGCTGAGACAAACCACCATGTGCCTCTATAGAAACGTAAGAGGACTAAGGGGTAAGCTGTTAGAAATCAGGAATATGTGCTCTCAGATGGATCTGAAGATCATAATCCTAACTGAAACATGGCTATCCCCTGACATTGCAGACGCAGAAGTGAGCTTATCAGGCATGACACTCTTCCGAAGCTATAGGGAACACCAAACTGAAGTGGCGATATATATATATATATATACATATATATATATATATATAGCAACTTAAAAGCAGAGCGACTATACGACATCCAACTGAGGTGACAGAATCATGTTGGTGTCGGTTCCACTCGAAATGCACGAAATACTTGATTGGAGGGATCTACCGACCTCCTTCGGGTACTAAGACCCAGAAAAGCAAACTGATTGAGGTAATACTGCAACTGACACTCCTAGGGTTTGATCAAGTACTCTTAGCCGGAGACTTCAATACCCCATCTTTAAATCTCAGCAATCAGTGTATAACTCCCACTGGTTGGTTCCAAAGACAACTTGGTACAGCCATTAGAAGCTCTAGGCTAACTGAGCACGTACGCAGAGCCACTAGTTGGACTAAGGAAGGGAAGTCCTCAGACCTAGATTATCTGTTAACGAACGACCAGCTCCTGGTTGAGGATGTTCACATCCGCGCTCCAATAGGTAGTAGTGACCATGGCACAGTCCTGTTTAACATGGTCACAAACGAAACGCTGACACCGGACGATAACGAGCCTTACCTTTGCTACAGTAGGGCAAACTACACACGCATGAGAGAGGTGCTCCTACATGCCCCATGGCCACGGGAGTGGTGGAGGCTGACAGTAGATGATCACTGGCAAGCAGTGAGAGATATCATCCAAAACGCTGTCGTAGACAACGTACCTCAATCACACCCAAAACGCCAGAACAGAAGAACCTGGGTTAGGCGCGGCACGGAACGCTTGCTACAGGCGAAGAGGAAAGCCTGGCACAAGTGGAAGGTCTCCTTGAAGGATTCCGATCGCTCTTACTTGGCACTGAGAAACAGATGCAATACCAAAGTTCGAAGCCATAGGAGACAATTCCAGAAGAAATCAGCCGCCAGAATAGAGGCAAACCTGTAACATCTGTTTAGATTCATGTCCGAAAGAAAACCTACTAATCAAGGGTTATGTTCCCTAAAAGGACCTAACGGAGAAGACCTCACCAAGCTAGAGATGGCCGAGATCTTCAACACCCATTTTTCTGATCAGTTAAACCAGGCGCCTACATCTTCAGAGTATTACGCCAACCCAATGCCAGCTGACGGCTTAGGGAACATCCGTATCACTCCTGACCTACTATTAAGGAAACTAAAATCCTTACGCCCAGGTAAGTCACCAGGTTGTGACAACATCCGCCCTATAGTCTTGCAACAGTGCGCTGAAACCCTCTGTTCACCGTTATGCAACCTGTTCAGGCATTCACTGGAGTCACACCATTTCCCAGCGGAATGGAAACAAGCTACTCTCTCTCCAATCTTCAAAGGAGGAGATAGAAAGGACCCAGCCTGTTACAGACCAGTCGCACTACTACCTATATTATCAAAGGCTATGGAAGGACTAGTGGACAAACAAATGAGGGAGTACATGGATAAGAATAAAATACTCCATGAAGCTCAACACGGGTTTCGGAAAGGCAGGTCGTGTGCATCTAATCTTCTCATCGCATGGGACATTTTGACATCCTGCTTGGACCGTAAAATACCAGTGCACGTAGTATTTCTCGACTGAGCTTCAAAAGGACCTTACATCTATTGAGAAATGGGCGGTGAAAAACGGTTTAAAACTCAACCAACTGAAGTGCCACGTCATGCATTTCCTGCCTCATATGACGCAAACCACCTACACTCTCAATGGAAGTCCGCTCCCTAATGTCTCCTCAGAGCGCGATCTTGGTTTAATAACCACAGAAAGCCTCCACACGAGTCCGAACTATGTAGGGGATGCAGACAAGGCAAATGCGACTCTTCACTTTATGCGAAGACAGCTTGGTGCTATCATCCCAAAATTATTTTTAACCCTGTTTAAGACGTACGCGCGCCCACACTTGGAGGTTCACAACTTCATCGCACCCCCTCTGCTTAAAAGAGACATAAATCTCTTGGATCGAGTGCAGAGACGAGCAAAGAAATGGGTGATGGGGTTGAAAAATAAACCCTACGACGATAGACTCCAGTTCTTGGGATTATTCCCACTGAGCTATCAGAGAATCAGAGGTGACCTGATTATGGCATACACCATATTAAACACGCCAAACCACCCCAATGTGAGCATCTTACCGATGCATCACTACCACTCCCCTCGAGGCAATCCTCAAAAGATTGCACATCAAAGAGCGAATACTCAGATTCGTGCACAATTTTTCTCATTGCGAGTCGTCGCAACTTAGAATGCTCTCCCAGCCCAGCTAACCACAGCCCCCACAGTGGACTGCTTCAAGAAGAGACTTGATAATCACGTACTCACATACGGACTATCATCTCCCTCTTGAACAAGCTGTGCCTGATGCATATCTTGAGACCTGCTAGTTGTTACCATTGCCATCTCCACAGATCACTCAATTAATCTATCTCGCCTATTATTCCGTTGCTTACACTTCGGTCCTCTCTCACAATCTTCACTACCAATTAATAAACGAAATTCATCTATATATTACTCAGTTCTGAAATTTCATTCATATTATCATTTTAATTTACCCTTATTACTCTTATTACTCTCCACATTGCAACTAACTGATCTCCGGTTTGGTAATGTGACGGCTGCTAGTATCCAGAAACCCTACTGCCCTGAAACAAACGTTTCATTCAAATCCCGAGACATACAAACTCACAACCAACTGCCAACTGACTAGAATTAGACAGTCGAGTGGCTAGACCTCCATCCATTGGACATTACCGAACACCTGGAACCGTACCGAAAGAACAGGAATCGAGCGCGAAGAAATCGAATTGGTTTACACTAGCTCGTGAAAAAGATATTGGATATTGGATATTGGAAGTGTTCTACTACACTTGTCTTGAGACCTGCTAATTGTTACGATTGCCATCTCCTCAGATCACTATATAATTCTATCCCGCTTGATTTCTCTGTTTTCTCTCCCTTGCTTACACTTCGGTCGTCTTTCACAATCTTCACTACCAACTGATAAACTAAATTATCCATTATTTACCTTGTCCTGAAATCTTACTCTAACTAGCATTAGAATTTTCTCCTTATTATTCTCCATATTGCAAACAAATGATCTCCGGTCTGGTAATGTGATAGTTGCTGGTACCTAGAAACACTACTGCCCTGAATAAAAACGTATTCATCAAAATCACAGGACATTCAAACTCACAAAACACTGCCAACTGACTAGAATTAGACTGTCAGTTTGCTAGACCTCCATCCATTGGGCTCTGTTGAAAAACTGGAGTCATGCCGAATAAAAAGGAGTCGAGTGCAAAGAAATCAATTGGTTTATACCAACTCGTCAATAAGATATCGAGTTGGATATTGAATTCTTTGCTTTTGTTTAACTATCCTATTAATTGTCCTCTCACCTTGGACGAGGCATTAAATTTCTTGGGTTTATGGAGGTCAGGAGGAGGAATGTGGCTTTTACCGACGAGGGTTCAAGGCCTGGTGTCTCTCAAATAATTAACGAATTAGACGTATTTCCCAAACTTCCGCGAGAATGCAAAAAACCAACTTGGACTGGTGGACTAAGTAGGTATCTATAGTCAGAGATATTAAGTCACTTCAGTTACCATTGTAACATTTTGTTTCATATCTTGGTTGCTTGTAATGGAATTTAGAAATTATATGGATCCTCCTGTCAGTTATTCTTATGAAGTCGACAAATCCCTTTCTAGGTAAGGTTTGTCTCTTACAAACTTTGCTTAGAAAAATAAAAGTCAACATTGACCTTGTTGTTGCTTCGCCTTGTCATGGTAAGTTTCTCATATATTTAATAATTTGTAGCTATTTCAATCGATGTGGTGGATAATTCCGGAAATACTTTGTCAGATGTCGATAATATACAGTACTTACCAACGCCATTCGAACTGAACCCAACAGCCCGAGCTGCATTTGAAGTATGTGCCGTTCAGCCCCGCCTCTCACCACCTGAGTATTTTTAATTTTTTCGAGTTTTCATACACTTTTGGTACCATTGTTACTGGATATCTAAGTGTATTAACATGATTCTCTCTTTTATTATCTCAAGAATTTTGGGCAAGTCTATTACTTATAAACCTCAACCAGTAAGATCCAAGACTGTAGGTCTTGGATTTTGGTATAGTATTTGTTCATCTGTTCGACTAAACTAAATTTTGGCACTACAGATGATGTTAGTTCATTATGAAAACTAATGCTAGGTCTCAATCTCAACTCATGACTCTAATATCAAGTCTTGATTCCTAACACTAATTTATAAACTTATTTTAACCTTAGTTAGTGATTGAATTTTCTCAAGAACATTTGAATGTCTCTTAACTACTGTCCGTAAATCATAGTCTCTTCGAAATAATTTTAGAATGATTTGATTCTGACCAATTCGGTCTCAGGTGCTGTTACATGTATGTAGACGGGTCACTTCCCGGCTGCTCACACCATGTAAGGGTGCTTTTCGAGGAACTTGCAAACAAAATTGGGTTAGTGTTGATCTTATTGATCTAGAAGCGTGACCTCAGAGCCAAAGGGACAAGTGGTAATGTGGTATGGCAACTTGAACTGCAAAGTTTTGATGATGATGATGTTGATTGTAGCTGACTGACTGGGAATAATTTTATGTTCTAGTTTACTTTCTATCGATAAATATGGTGAACGCATTATTGCATTTGTACATTCATCAATAGAAGCTCTCATACGCTTAGTTCATTTAATTAAATCAGTTTTAAGTGTATATTCTCACAGTAAACTTCAAACTAAATTTATTGTTCTATTGAGAAAACGTTAGGTGATTCTCATTAACATTTTTAGGCAATAAATTTCTAAAAAATTTATTTTATATCTATTTTTTAATAAAATTTATTTTCAACTAAACCGACGTCAACATCATACTACACAGAAATTTCATTACAAATTTGAACTGAAAAGTCAAGAATAACACTAAATTATCCTGTTACAAGCCACTTTTTTTAAATTTAAATATTTGTTGACATTCACAAAGCTTAGTTCATGATTATGTAAACGTTACTGATGTGTTTAAAGTCTTCAAAACTTCATTATTATTCTGTGTATGTTTCTTTCATTATTTAAACAGAATCGAAAATATGTAGCTGGAGCTCTTCGTGCAAAACATCATTCTATTCAACAATGGTTGTGGAAACATTCCTCAAAATCGAAATTTTTGAATAAATTTAAAGTCCCTGAATCTGGTAAAACGGTTCCAGATGGTCAAAATTTTGATGCTTGTCGAATTATTGGTACTTTTTTCGTTAAAAATATTGAAGGCAATATACACATAGTATTTGGAAAGTAAGTAATTATTTATCTACTATTTCAAGGCATCGTTGTTTTTTTCATTAGAATTCTGTGTATTGTCATTTCAGTCAATGTACACTAGTTTTTGTCACTGGATGGTGTACTAGAGAAGTGCATTAACCTTACACAAGCTCTCTACTCGAACGCTACTGGTTAAGTGAGAGCTTATGGCCAACTGTCATCGTAATTGATTACTTCAAGTAGTGTCCTTCAGGGTTGTTCACTTTCTCCATTCCTGTTTAACTTTGTCACTGACATGGTTTTAGAGACGACACCTTCATCGTTTCACTTTTCAGGAGTTGAACTTTTACCGGGAGATTCATTTATTGACTTAGAATATGCCGATGACATAGTTCTGCTTGTTACAGGCGTTGACAAATTGCTGTCTTCTGACCACCTCAAACAACAATGCAAGCATTTTCGGAATGCGATTCTGAACCTCGAAATGAAAAATGTTGCTTCGGGATTGGCTTACGTCGGCACCTTAACTAGCGATAGGGAGTGAAGTAGTCGAACGTGTTGATCACTCCACTTATCTGGGGAGTCTCATCAGCGCCGATAACCTGATGACTGACGAAATATCAGTGCGGATACAGAAAGCTCGATTTGCCTTTACCAATTTATGCCGTTTATGGCGTAGGCGAGATATCCGTTTGCTGACCAAAGGACGAGTGTGCAGTAGTTTGCTCCGCTCTCCTATATGGCTGTGAAACATGGCCATTAAGAGTAGATATTCGTAGGTTACTAGTATTCGATCATAGATGTCTTAGAAGCATTGCTCGTATATCCTGGTACAACCGAGTAAGCAATGCTGTCGTTAGGAACCGGGTGCTAGGTAAGGATGGCAGATCAATAGATGAAGTAATGAAACTTAATCAGTTGAGGTGGTTGAGACATGTGTTACGAATGCCTAACCATCGACTGCCTCGACGAGCTATGTTTTGTGGTGTAGGAGTAGGTTGGAGGAAAGCAAGTGCTGGCCAAATCAAAACATGGCACAAATCCATGAAGTCCCTGACAAGTGAACTGAGTCATGTTGGTAGATGTAGGCTATCTGGTTGGGGTCCGCGAGACGATAGTCACCGACGGTCAGAGACCTTGAACGACATGACTCAGAATCGTTTGCAATGGCGCAGGTGCATCCACTCTTTGTGTTCTATGAAATTCTAAGCTTCTGCATTCCTCATAATCTCTACCTTTCTCCTTGTAAATTTATCCTACTGAATTATATTTCTTAAATTGTATATTCGCTCCCTAATCTTCTCCATTACTAATACTACTATTATTGCTATCACTCTTGGATTTGAACTCACAGTTGCGTCTCTATGCTGATGAGGCATGGCAACCTGAACTAATGTACTTACGTACGAAGTTCTGCGTTGTATCTGTCTGTCTGTCTGTCAAACTAGTTCAGTCTACTAGTAGGTAATGGATAATGGATTGTTTGAAGCGTCAGAATTTCAATCACTAGTTCCGAAGAACTTCTAATTAGGTTTGCAACAATCAAGCTAAGGTATAACATCACCCTTTAAAATTGTTGACTGTTCATTTGAACCTATGTGGTGTTTAATGTCGAGTTTCTAGTTGAAAATCCTAGCTGAAATTTTACCTCATGGTTCAAAGATGATTAAAATTGATGGCGAAAATGCCTTACTTATGTATCTCTCTCTCTAAATCTTGTGTTTAAGCATTATTATTTCATACGCTCAATATATCGGTTTTACTCTTTCTTTTAGTCAGTCTGTTACAAGTATGAGGACAGATGTCACTTACTGGCTGTCCACACAGTGAAAGGGTGTTTGTTGATGAACCTGAAAAGAAATTTAGATTAGTTTTGGTCTTAGAGAACTGGGAGCGTGACCGCAGAGTCCAAGATACAACTGCTTGAGGCCGGTCACGTACGGACTTTTTATGAGAAGTTTTTAAAGTGTTAGCTCTGCTATTCAAGTAGCCTTACCTCTGGAGACGAATCTCCGTGAGGTAAGGTGAGGTGTGACAGTTTTTAGGGTCGACCTTTTCTAACCCCTCCCTCTTGCAGATGCTGATTGTCCGACGGAAACACCTTTCTTCTGTCATACCCCTCTGCAGTCAGCAGTAAGACTTCACTCTTACGCCCTAAGTTTCTTCTTTTAGTCTTACCGTTCTCCTGTCGTCCTACCTGGCATGATAAAACCTAAAGAAACATATATTCTAGCCAACATAGCTCGGTTGGGTCATTATGATAGGCAGCCGCGATCACCACGTCAAGGTAGCCGCTACGGTCTCTGAATTCTTTCCCTCAAAACATTGTTATTCATGCTCAAGCTCTTACTATCATTATTTCAGATTTCTTACTATCCATTCTTGTTAGTTTCCTTTACGGTTACACACTGATTTACTATGGCAACTTGAGTTTCTACATAATTGTATGTCACATCGTATATTATTTATAAGTAGACTGACTAGCTCTAAGGTTTTCCCACTTGTATAAGTCGCTAAATGATTAATTCGTTTCTTTTTTTGTCATGACTTGTTTTACAGACCTCTGAATGGACTTGGCAATCTACATTTACACGTTGCACCGTTTTCAGATCACACGCGTAAGTCTTTTATAAAAAAAATTTCGATTCTCTGACCTTATATAGGTTTGAAACTCTTTTCTCTATTTCCATCCAACCTACTAGATAACTCTTCTAGCGTTCACATGAAATATGTGTGGCTTAAAGTGTGAACTGCCTAAAAAAAAAGACGCCTATGCCATCTAAATGAAATACTTTGTTTAGTCTTCAAGATTCAACGTTTCCTAACCTTTTTTCAGATGTCATTTATTCACAAGATTTTCTCAGTTATAATAAGTAGATTATGAATCAGTAATTCGCCTATTTTGTACGTTCACTTCAGTAATTATTGAAAAAATCAAGTGACTCTGAATGAGTGCTTTTATGAGTATGAGCCATAAATGACACGGCTCAAAACCGTTTGTAATGACACAGATGCATTCATTCTTTGTGTTCTCTCAAATCCTAACCTTCTAAATTCCTCATCACCTTAATCTTTTTCTTTTTAAGTTTATTTCACTAGATTCTACTTCTTGAATAATATCTTTGAACTCTAATCTTCTCCATTACTGCTATAATACTTCTATTACCTCTACTTATATCGAATTTGAATTGACAATTACATCTCTGTGCTAATGTGTTATAGCAACTTGAACTGATGTGCGTACGTACGTACGTACGTACTGGATCGGAATGTTCATTCTAAAGTGTGACTAATTTTGAATCAAGTTTGATATAAGTAGAATGTTATTTTTTGATTCAGTAGACAGACTCTCAGTATTTGCCAGGAAATATAATTGATACATGTTAGCGTTTTGTGTTGTTCTATACGAGATCCAAATGCTAAGAGATACAAACCATGTAGTAAGTTCAATATCTTCAAACTATTGAGTTCAAAATTCATTGGTTGTATGCATCCAAGACCTCTGCTCGCTGAAATCGAATCCTTTGGTTTTGGACGCGAAAGCTTAGCTTGTACACCTTTGAACTGGTAGCATCTAATGGTGTTAATATCCAACTTTGATCAACTGAGGGATTTCGAACAACTGCACGCATTGTGCTCGTTGGCTGCTGCCTATACCCGACAGAGTCCAACTCCACTGATCATTGCTTTTCACTAGAACTCCGAGAATCTCATCACGAAGTTAATCACTAGTGATCCGTGACCTCCACTGGTCAAGTATAGGCAGTAGCTACTGAAGACAATGGGTGAAGTTGCTCAATAACTCGAATTGATTACAGTTAAGACATTAACACCGTTGGATGCCGGCCAGCTCAGTGGTGTAGAGGTTGAGTTCGCACATGAGACCGAAGGTGCTGGATTCAACTCTCACGAACAAGGGTCGTAGATGTATACTTCTACTGACGAGTCCCATACTTCAACGAAACAGCCATCCATTGCTTCCAGATTTCTAACTCTGGTCTAACACGATGGTCAGTTCATTAATTCAATGACAAACTTAACAATCTCAACAACACGATAATGAAAACAATTAGTGTATTGGTTTTGATAAGTATTCCTGTCTAATTAAAGGAATATGATGATTCTGTTGAAATCAACTGATTCACTTTCCGCCTTCTTTCCTCTCTCTCTCTCCCCATTGTAGCCCAAAATTTCAGTCATCGAATTTATCATTTTTCTTTTGGTGATCCAGTTAATGGACAAATACATCCGTTAGAAGCTATTGAATCCGTCACTGATGTTGGTGAGTGTTCTATTTTGAGTTGAAATTTTTTGCTACACCTCTGTACACACGAACAAAAATTAAGAATCATATCAATTTGTTGATAGGCTTACGCCTAAGGTTTTTAGAGATGGTGGTCCATCTTTAACGGTTGGTTAGATTGACTGGGATGTTAGGTAGAATCTGGGTACTGGGCATAATCCCATCTGACTAGTCTCAATCCCTAATTGTTCCAGTTTACAAGAAATAAACAGTAGTCTTCTTGTGACAGTCACAGAGGAATCAATCTAACTAATATAATCTCTAAAATGTGTTAGCCTCGATAATACTTCGACACCTGACTAGAGCTCATGAAGAGCAGACTCGAGAAAAGCAGGTTAGTTTCCCACCTGGACGTGGATGTATAGATCACATGTTCACTCTTCGTCAGGTCCTGGACCAAAGGCACACTTTCAGACACCCCACAATAGTAGTATTTCTCGACCTTGAAGCGACGTTCCACTCTGCTGATCGTGAGGTTCTGTGGCAGTGTCTGTCATCAAAAGGTGTTCCAAAGAAGTACATTAACCTTATACCAAGCTTTCTACTCGAACACCACAGGTCGATTGAGAGCTTATGGTGAACTGTCATCAGAATTGACTACTTAAAATGGTGTCCATCAGGGTTGTCCACTCTGTCCATTCTTGTTTAACTTTGTCGTAGGCATGCTTTTCGAGTTAACTTTATACTCAATTCTTAATATCTCTGTGCTAATGTGTTATAGCAACTTGAACTGATGTACATACGTACGCACGTAGATAGCACCCGTTTCCTAACAACAGCATTGCTCACTCGGTTTTTCCATGAGACACGAGCAATGCTTTGGAAGCACCTACTGTCGAAAACCAGTAACCCTATGAACATACTCTATTCTTACTGACTATGTTTGGACCAGTGTAGCAGCAGCCTCTGCAGCAGTAGGTCTCAACATACATAAAGGAAAGAGCGAAATTCTCCGATGCAACACAACATGCACCAACCAAATCACTCTTGATGGAGATGCCTTGGAGGACGTTAACACCTTTACATATCTGGGCAGCATCATCGACGAGAAAGGTGGATCCGATGCAGATGTGAGGGCACGGATTGGCAAAGCAAGGGCTGCATTTCTACAGTTGAAAAATATCTGGAACTCCAAACAACTTTCAACCAAAACCAAAATAAAGATTTTCAATACAAATGTCAAGACAGTTCTACTGTATGGAGCGGAAAGAAGATACCAGTGTTTATTAACAGCTGTCTACGCAAAATACTTCGTATTCGTTGGCCAGACACCATCAGCAACAACGAACTATGGGAGAGAAGAAACCAGATTCCAATGGATGAGGAAATCAGGAAGAAGCAGTGGAAGTGGATAGGACACACACTACGAAAAGCACCTAACTGCGTCACGAGACAAGCCCTCAGATGGAACCCTCAAGGCAAAAGGAAAAGAGGAAGGCCAAAGAATACATTACGCCGGGAAATAGAGAAAGATATGAGAAGAATGAACAAACATTGGACAGAACTGGAGAGAGAAGCCCAGGACAGAGTTGGCTGGAGGAAACTGGTGTGCGGCCTATGTTCCACTGTGGGTAACAGGCGTAAGTAAGTAAGTAAGTAATGTTTCGCATCCATATAGTTGGATGGAGCAAACTGCTGCACAGTAAACCCATCCATTGCTTATCCTACGCCATAGGTGACACAACTTGACAAAAGTCAGCCGAGCCTTCTGTATATTCCATGTTTAAATGAAGCACATAGGCTCCATAATCTTGATATTGACAAATTCATTATTTATTATTTATAAAATAAATTTTCTTTCTGAAATTTTTTTTATGTTTTTTTTGCCGATTTGAATTTAGCTTTCACATCATTTCAATATTTTGTTACAATGGTCCCAACTAAAGTGGTAAATCATTTCGATGTAACAGAAACTTATCAGTATGCAGCAACGTTACAAGTAATGTCAAATGATTTAAATGAACCTTACTGTTGATATATATATATATATATATATATATATATATATATATATATATATATATATTGTTTTAACTGAAATCTAACCAATCTCTTGATTGGTATATCAGCATTTTTCCTACTATACACGGATATAGTCATTATGAGACTTACTGGAACAGATGAGAATGTGTTTAGTGGTGGAATTTGGGATGCGCGTTTTGGCCCGATTTGGGTAACGTCTTTAGATGGAATGTTGTACCTGCATACTAGAGTTGATTTTTCAGTACTGTTGACTTAAAACGTCATCGTTTTATCCACTTAACGATTGAATCCATAGATAACCACTCACTCATGCAATGAAACTGATCAAAACAAGTTAATGGCTAGCTGAACTCAGTAGCTAAGTAGATAACAGTCAGTCAGTCAATCAGTCAGTTACAATGTAGAACTTTGTATGCACGTACATCGGTGTTCAAGTCGCCATACCACATAAACTCAGTGTTGTAACGCTTGCTTAAATAATTCCCGGCTAAATCCTATTGCTTAGTATTCTCTGACCACAATACACACTGGACAAGATTCCCAAGAACAGGAAAAGATTATATTCCAAAATAGCAAGGAATAAGAAGCCAGAGGTGATGGCGAAGGCAAGAAGGCAAAAATAGATACAACGCTAGTCTATTTATAGCATTTACATGAGAAAGCTTCTGGAAGAAAATTCACCTGATCGACCGGATTAGATTTAACAAATCAGCGTGCAGCTAACAATACGAGAATTTTCTACCCTGTTCTCCAAGATTCGATCAGGCGTTGATTGGATAGGGAATTAGCCAATCAGCGCGCAGCAACGTAGTCATGCTTTAATTCCATCTATGTCCCACTAACACACAGAGACGCAACTGTCAATTCAAATCCCATAATAGTAGAGGTATTAGAAGTATTAGCGATGATCAAAAAGATTAGGGATCGAAGATATCATTCAAGAAGTATAATTCAGTGAAATAAACTTAAAAAGAGAAAGATAAAGGTGATTAAGAATCCAGAAGATTAGGATTTGAGAGAAGCCAAAGAATGTATGCACTTGCGCCATTGCAAACGATTTTGAGCCATGTTATTCAAGGTCTCTCACCATCGATTACTATCATCTCACGGACTCCACCCAGGTAGTCTACACTTACCAACATGACTCCTCAGTCCACTTGACAGTGACTTCATAGATTTGTGCCATGTTTTGGTTTGGCCACCCCTAAGTTTCTTCCAACACCTACTCTTGCACTACAGAACACAACTCGACGAGACGAGCACATGAGACCAAATCGTAAATGTAGATAACACATTGGTAAATGAAATGAATGGCACTGATTTCAGGTCCCCTTGAAGTGGAAACACCAACTCTGAAATGCAGATACATCCAACTACAGATGAGTTATAAACAAGACGCCATGTTCGTCCTTGATTCCACTACTAACTGCATTCTGTCTATTCTAAATTTATCCAGTAACTGTTAGTGTTTTTTCTCTGAAAAATTTAAGTCGTTTGATGTTATCGTCAGCTTTCATCAATCATTCTCTAAAAAATTCACGAAAGGTAATTACATGAATATATGTTGGGTTTTTTATGGGTTTTGAGTTTGAGAGTTATCTGGTCGTACCGCATAAATCACATCAGACATTAATCATCTTGAACTTACAGTTTTTATGGGAACATCTGTATTAGTGCTAGTTAGATGGTGATAAGGTGGTAATTCATGTTTCGTTGCGAGACGGCAAGTACGGTTGAATGGATCACCTGCTAGCTAGAACGTTTCAGTGACGTCTGCGATCGTTAATGTTTCTACTAACGAAGCAACCTTTGTGGGAGGTGGACGCATCTCTTTCTCGACTTAACAGCTGATATGTTGCAGATGAAGAGACAGTGCATCAATGTGGAGTTTGTTCTTGTTTCTGCTGTTCTGCGTATATGTCTTCAGTCGTGATTCAATCGAGTATCTGGATAATAAAAACTAATGTCTTATCTAGTTCCACAAATGACAGATGAACAGTTGTTAACATGCGAAATACAATTGGTCGAATAAGATCATTATCGAGAGACCCATCAAATATTGCTGAAACTCCGATTGTACAACAGACAACTGCCGATACTTTCGAAGATGACAAGGGGATGTCGGGAGTCACGAGGATTGGCACGACTGATGTGATGACGACTCTCCGATAAACAGTGGTCTGGATGCTACTCTATTCCCTCTGGAAGAGGAGGATGGTATTTCATTGAATTTGGAAGAACTTAATAACATGAATGACAACTCAGATCAAGATACTGACTGATGTTTGTGATCTGTATGACGTGTATCAACATACAGAGCCACAGATTACAAACCTATGGGAAACATTGTGGACAATTTTCTAGCGTAATGCTATCTTTCATGTATTCTTCAGTTTAAACCCAAACATTGTCTAACACATGGAGTTATCACAGAACGATAACAGAATATATTATGAATCCAAAATAGAAGCTTTTCTCTTGGTTGTTATGAGGTCATTATGGTGAATATCTCCAAGAAATCCATACAATCCATTCGAAATGTCAGTCAGTCAGTCAGTTACAACGCAGAATTTCGTATGTACGTACATATCTCCTATCGTAATATTTATACTTACCTTGACAACAAAGTGAATGAAACTTCAGTACAGTTTGTAGTAGTTGATAAACAAAGTTAGATTGTTATTATGACTCAATTGGCATGTTTACTAAACTTCGTTTTTAGTAATTATAAAAGCTTAAGGTTGCGCCAAAATCCCTAGATTGATCAGAGTTGTGGATGCCAGCTCAGCGGTCCAGAGGTTAGGCGTTCGCGTGCAGGACCGAAGAGATTCTAGGTTCGATTCCTGTGAGTGGCGGGATTCGTGGATTTACAGTGCCACTAGTGAGTCACTTAACAGGACGAAATGGCAGTCTTTCAGTGCTTCCACGTTTCTACCTAATAGTGGTCTAACAATGATTGATTGATGATTTTAAATGTGTAAAAACACTAATCTCCATAACTCTAATTGGAAATGTCGTAAAATAATATGCTCACTAGTGACTAGCTTCGTGAGGAAATTCTCGGAGTTCTAGTGAGAACACGTGATCAGTGGAGTTCAACCCTATCAGGTATAGGCAGTAACTACCAAAGACAAATGGATGAAGTCGCGCAAAATCTCTAGATGAATCAGAGTTAGACAATAACACCGCCGGCCCATTGGTCCAGAGGTTAGGCGTTCGCGCACAATACCGAAGGTCCTGGGTTCGAATCCTGCGATGTTCAGGAGTCGCTGATGCGCACTCCTGAAGAGTCCCATAACAGGACGAAATGGCCATCCAGTGCTTCCAAGTTTCTAATGGTGGTCTAACAATGATTGATTGATTATTTCAAATGTGTAGAGAAAACACTAATCTCCATAACTCTAATTGAAAAGATAGTTTATACAATTCTGAAAACAATGGAATTGTTTTCAGAAATATTTCCGGTTCTTTTCAATGGATATTTATAGTTTTTGTCATTCAATATTTTATAGTGTTTATTGTTTCAACTCTAACAACTCACTCTATTGTTGTACTCTTATTTACACGCACACACACGAACACATCATTGTTTATGAAAATGTATTTAACCTTTTTGCACAAGAATTTTCTTGCTTTATACTTAATTTAAAAAATTTTAAAAAATGTTCATAAAAGTTGGATTAATCTACAAATTATTCTTACACTGACAGTGTATGCAGTAAAAAAGTACTTATATGCGTTGAGAGACCTTGAAAGACCTATCAACCAATCATGAAACAATGCCAAAGTATGAAACAATTAATTTCATCAACCAATCAAATAAATATCAGTGGAATTAATTATTTTGATTTGATTGGTTCATTCCTACATATTGAATTGTTCCTTGTAGAGAAACTATATCGATTATGCTTTTACTTATTAAGAGTTGGGCAGGGAGTGTGTGTTATGAGTTAAGATTATCACCAAACAGAGTTTTCGTCATCAAGTTATAAGACCAGTTGTCATACGAGTTAAGCTAGAGTTCTGAGCTTGATCTTTTGAATGAGAGTTAAGGTTTTTGATCATGAAATGTCATCCATCAGCCTATGACACAATATCTTGTCATTACACTGTTTACAAACTTATATTGTGTGACTTAATCTATTTTATTTAGTGATTGATTGCCTCATGCTCAACTCTGTTAAACTCCACTGGTTACGGCTTCTCATTAGAATTACGAAAATTGCATCAGGATGCTAGTCACTAGTTAGCACACGATAATTGTCAGTATATATACTGACTTAGGGATCCAGAAGTTAAGTGTTTGTGTGTGAAATCAAAGACCTTACGTTTGATTCTTGCTTCTGAAATGGTGTATGCTCACTAATAATGAGTCGTATGCTAAAATGAAACCATCTACCAGTGCCTCTAATGGAGGTTAGTGCGATACGACACAACATGCACTAACCAAATCACTCTTGATGAAGATGTCTTGGAGAACGTTAAAACCTTTACATATTTGGGCAGCATCATTGACAAGCAAGGTGGATCCGATGCAGATGTAAAGGCGCGGATCGGCAATGCGGTTCTAGCATTTCTACAACTGAAAAACATCAGAAACTCAGAACAACTATCAACCAACATCAAAATCAGAATTTTCAATACAAAGACGAAAGTCACCAATGGTTAGAGACCTTGAACGACATGGCGCAGGTGCAGCCACTGTTTGTGTTCTGTGTAATTCTAATCTTCTGAATTCCTCATAATCTCTATCTCTTTTTAAAGATATCTCCCTGAATTATACTTCTTGAACGCTCCCTAATCTTCTCCATTAATCCTAATACTTTTATTATCGCTATCACTCTCGGATTTGAACTGACAGTTTCTGTGCTGATGTGATATGGCAACCTGAATTGATGTACTTACGTACGAAGTTCTACGTTGTATCTGTCTATACAAATGTCAAGACAATTCTACTGTATGAGTCGGAAACTTGGATGAAAGCCATCATCCAGAAGATACAAGTATTCATTAACGGTTGTCTAGGCAAAATACTTCGGATCCGTTGGCCAGACATGATCAGCAACAACCTGCTGTGGGAGAGAACAAACCAGATCCCAGCAGAGGAGGAAATCAGGAAGAAAAGTTGTAGGTAGATAGGACACACTACGGAAAGCACCCAACTGAGTCACAAGAAAAGCCATCACTTCTAACCCTCTAAGTTGAAGGAAAATAGGAAGGTCAATGAACACATTACGCCGAGAAATAGAGAAAAACATGGGAAGAACGAACAAAAATTGGAAAGAACTGGAAAGGGATGCCTGGGACAGTATAGGTTGGAGAATACTGGTTGATGGCCTGTGCTTTATTGGAGGTAACAGGTGTAAGTATGTAAGTTAGTCAACAATCTATACGACCGTCATATTGATACTAAATTTTTTTCTAAAAGTATGCCATTCACACTAATCTGCAATTAGCAGAAAATAATGAGCACATAAATTTAATCGATCAATCAATTTATGAACATGACCAGAAGTGTCGATTCAATAAAACCATCAACATAAATAATCATAACTTAACAGGCAGTTAATCGTTGAGGAGGTCATTAAAACTGACTGATTTAACACTTGAGAAATAATTCCAAAACATTTCACTTGCATGTTGAATTCCATAGCTGATTGTGAAGCATTCTTAACTTGAACTATCACGGAAAACAGCGTAACACTATCAATGTTAGACTATTATTAGAAGCACTAAACGGCCGTCTTGTTCAAGTTTGAAACTCTTTAGTAGTACACATTAACAACTCACACACTCGAACCCAGAACCTTCAGGTCGACGCGTAAACGCTTGACCACTGAGGCCTTATACAATGGTGTTAATGTCTACCACTTGAGTCAGTCTACCATATTTTGTGACCGTCATCCTCGATAGTGTTTTGTGTGAAGCAGTTATTCATGAAAGACCATGAATTCATGGAGTTTAGACATTAATTAACACCTACTGAATGCCCGCTCCAATCACCCACTGACTGGCTGTTATGCTTGCCACCAGTTGATATGCTTGAATGCTATTACGAGTTCACCTTACTCAGTAAACGAGAGTGAAGACAAATGATCCGGTTACGCGGTAGTCTATTCGAATCCGTGTGTCCCCAACCTGACTAACTATATCAAGAAATCTTGATAAGGCGTAGAAAAGTGTATTCTACAAGCACCCAGAAAATACAAGGTCGACAAACACACAAATCCAGTTTATTTATACATGATGGAAACGTCCTTGGGAGAGCTACAAAATTAGCGTACTAAAATAATGCATCAACCAATGAGAGCCAAGGATTTTCCGAGTGAAAAATGGCAGATCAATAGATGAAGTGCTGAAACTTCATCAGTTGAGGTGGTTGGGACATGTGCTGCGTATGCCTAACCACCGACTGCCTCGTCGAGCTTTGTTTTGTAGTGTAGGAATAGGTTGGAACAAAGTTAGGGGCGGCCAGACCAAAACATGGCAGAAATCCATGAAGTCATTGACATGTGGACTGAGCCATGTCGGTAGTTGTCAACTACCTGGTTGGGGGTCCGCGAGATAATAATCGATGGTTAGATACCCTGAATGACATGGCTCAAAACCGTTTGCAATGGTGCCGGTGCATTTATTCTTTGTGTTCTCTCAAATCATAATCTTCTGGATTCTTTAACACCTCTAGTTTCGACTCTCTAAACTTTTCTCACTGAATCATACTTCTTGAATAGTATCTTCTAATCCTAACCTCTCCGATTACTTCTAATTCCCTTATTGCCTCTTCTACTATTGGATTTGAATTGACGATTACTTCTCTGTGCTGATGTGGTATGGCAACATGAACTGATGTACTTACGTACCAAGTTCTACATTGCATCTGACTGACTGACGAGTGAAAAATGTAATCTCAAGGTCAACCAAGCAACTTATGCGCGAAAACATTAAAAAAACCCAAAAATTAGCACCTACTCCAAGTGAGTTTTGAGGATTTAACTTACCCAACTAGCCTAGCATATAAATCAATGCATAGTTGTCTTACTTTCTTGTTTCTCCTTTTGCAGAATCGAACAATTGATCATGCCGCAGGAAGTCATGGATTACCTGGCATATTCTTTATTTATGATAGTTTTCCATTAGTTGTCAAAATTACATATAATCGTGAATTGTTAGGAACATTTTGTACACGACTTATCGCTTTAGCTGGTGGTATATTTGCTACAATGATTTATTTACGTGAAATCTTATCGAATAGTTTAGATTTTTTTTTCAATCGAACACATTTAGGTCGTCATTGTCAACATGGTTGGATTAGTTGTAAACAAAATTTCTATTATCAATTGGCGAAATGTATGCCAAATTGTTTGAATAAAACTTATTTTCTCATTCAATCATCATCGTTATCAGTAGAGAATGTATTGAATCCGGACTCAGATACTTGAGTCTGTTCTATGTGTGTGTACACCTAGCTACACGACCACGTGTCCTCTTCTCACCATATTTTTGGGGCTATTGTGCCTTCAGCTTTCTGTGATTTGTTGGAAAGAACTGACCGTTTTTTTATGCATCTGTGTGTGTGGACATGTGGACTGTTGGTTCTATTGAATCCCTTCTTCTTTGATCTGTGTACAGTGTTGTCGTCTTTCATATCTCTCTCTCTCTTTCTCTGTGAACTTCACCTTTTTTATCTTGTTCAATGTCCAAGTTTTCTTTTCTCTTGTTCATCTTTCATTTTATTTGGTTCAACAAACTTATTTGTACTAACACTTGTTTTGTGTGTGTTTGTGTGTGTGCGTATGGATCAGTTGGTTTCTTTTTCCGGTCAAGTTCATTGTATATGTATAGATTTCTTTTTTTTGCACATTGATCTATTGTGTTGTGTTTGTAAGTAAATAATGATGTTGAATTATGAATAGAAATGTTAATTATCAACCAGCTAATTACGTGTGTTATTTGTCACTGACCTATTTTGCGATTAGAATGTAGAATTTGACACGTTGACGATATATGATGTTAGTTTAAATTGTGATGCTTCATTATTTAGTTAGTTAGCATAGAGAGAGAGAGAGCGATGAAATTGTCAAGCCAAGTGTCTTGGTGTTATTTATTTGCTGACGCCTGTTACCCCCCAGGAAATGTGGAGTATAGGCCGCCGACACTAGCATTCTTCAACCAACTCTATCCAATAGTTGTTCATTCTTTTCATGTCTGTCTGCGAATTCTCGGTGTGAATGAGGTTGGATATTGTCCGAGTGGTCAAAACTGAAGTAGATGATTTCCTTTAGGGGGTCAGTTCTCGAGCATGTGGCACAAAGGTCTAATTCACAAGGCAGTATGAAGCAACAATGTACGAGATGTAGTTTCAGGGTTGTCATGAACACACATCAACACGTCATTTTATATGCTTGGACTATTACGAGTTTGCCTTAGTTTGAAAACGAGAGCGAGGATCCGGCGACACAACAGGCTACTCTAATCCGATTGTCTCAAACCCCGATTGAATAAAACAAGAAGACGATATAAATTAGAACCTGTATTCTACAAGCATCCAGAAAGTATGAGATCCAAGTCCAGATGAAGGTAAGGATCCGGGTCATAAAACGCTACAGATAAAGCATATTTATACAGTTAGGTCCAATAGGAAACAGCGCTAAAATACTTGATATTGATAGTTAAGATGACCAATAGAATTAGGCTTACAATAATTCTCTTAGAATATTAGATCAATATTCTAACAATGGTAGCTGGTGACCAAATTAAGTTTGTACGCCGTTTGTTCAAAGGTTATCATTATAAATTCCCGACCGTAGCTGCTACTTTGACGTGGTGGTCGGGCTTGCCTATCGTGATGACCCAACCGAGCTATACTGGCTGGAACATATGTTCCTGCATGTCCTACCATGCCAGGCAGGTCGATTGGAGAACGATGAGACTAAAAGCAGCTACTCAAGGTCTGAGGGCGAAGTCGTACTGCTGACTGCAGAGAGGTGTGACAGCAGTAAGGTGTTTCCCTCGGACAACCAGCATCTGCAGCGATGCTGCCTTCTCACAAGGAAGGAAGGGTTAGAAAAGGTCGACCCTAAAAATGTCACACCTCACCCTACCTCACGGATTTCCGTCTCCTTGGGTAAGGGTGCCCACTAAGGGCCTTAAAGAACGGAGCTAATCCTCTAAACACATCCGTTCAGGTTGCCATACCACGTCAGCACCTAGATGCAATTGCCAATTCAAATCCCATAATGGTAGATGCAGTAGAAGTATTACTGGTAATGGAGAAGATTAAGATTTGAAGACATTATTCAAGTAGCATGATTCAGTGAGATAAGTTTAGAAAGACAAAACTAGAGGTGTTGAAGAGCATGTAGAGTAGAGTAAATGAGAAGTAGAAAACTGAAGAACCATAGAACATATGAACTGATAACCTAACAAGAATACAAAATGCACTTACATTTGATGGATATCGCAATAGTTAACAATAACACAAGCTTCAGATTCTGAAAATTTGGAAAGTGAAACTGGGAGAGGATAGAGTGAACACGTCAAGCCGCTTCATCGTAGTTACGGTGTTTTAATTCTTTCTAACTTCTGATATGCAAGTCGAATTAATTTCAATGTGTAGTTGTTACTTTGATTTAGTAATAATACTTGCCTATCATGTTGACTGTGGGAGAGAACAAACCAGATTCCAGTGTGGAGGAGGAAATCAGGAAGAAGCGGTGGAAGTGGATAGGACACACATTGCGGGAAGCACCGAACTGCGTCACGAGACAAGCCCTCACATGGAACCCTCAAGGCAAAAGGAAAAGAGGAAGGCCAAGGAACACATTACGCCGAGAAATAGAGAAAGATATGAGAGGAATGAACAAAAATTGGACAGAACTGGAAAGGGAAGCCCAAGATAGAGTTGGTTGGAGAAAACTGGTGTGCGGCCTATGCTCCATTGTGGGTAACAGGCGTAAGTAAGTAAGTAATCACGTTGACTCAAATTAAATAAAATACATATTCTCTTGAGTTCTAAACTACCAGACAGTTTAATTGGACAGCGTAAGATTATAAACATTGAAGTCATAGTCCAAAGTCGTACTGTCGATTGTAGTAGAGCGTGGATGACAGAAAGATGATTCGCCTTTGAACAGTTAACATCCATTTCGATGGTACCCTTATTATAACTGGTTTAAAGGGATTTAGAAAATGTTACACTTGAACATACCACATCTCATCTTGTTTTGTCGTATGGTTTTAAAAATACAAAACTAACATACGAACAGCTACTTCTAAAAAATCATTTTGTAACCAGTCTCATCAAGATGTCCTTGGAAGTCTGTAATCGTTAATCCTTAGTCTTCAAAGACCATTACTATTTGAGTAATTTTTTTGTTGGACATCTTAGGGAGAAGCATCCTTTCAGGATATGTGTAGCTGAGAGGTGAGTGACAACTGTCTATATACCATGAATAGATTGAATCAACTGGGTTAAGTCATCAATGAGGTGTGTTTACACAAATGCCATTTTTAACTCATGAATCGATCAATATTAGACCAATACCGTGGATCGATCGAAGTTCGACATTGACACCGTCGGATGCCGCCGGCCTAGCGGTCTAAAAGTTAGAAGTTTGCGTGCAAGAACATAGGTCCTTAGTTGGGCTCTAGCCAGCTGGAGTCGTGGATGTTCATTGCTGATGAGTGTCATACTAGAATGAAATGGCAATCGAATGGTTACAGGTTTCCATTGGTGATCTAGTAGTGATCGACTAATGATTTCTCAGTAACCCAACAATCTTCCCAACCCTATAATGACAACAATCAGAATAGATCAGTCTGCTATGTTATAGTCAATATCATTGTCGTTTCATAGAATTAATTGTTTGATCAAAACTATCAAACTGAAAATCGTTTTGATGGACCGTGTCCGGAGATCTGATCGTAATACATGTCAACCCTTCAAACTAGTTACTACTTGAATGAGACCGCTGGAGCAGAAAAGAAATTCTATTTGACCACCGAATAATACAATCAGATGCTCATATATATTTATATACATACTTTACCTCCTATTAAAAAAAATCGAAGAAGCCATTTCTTGACCAATGATATGTATCCCTCCTTAAAGACATCCTTTGATGGTCGGTCATCAAATGACCTTCTGATTTGGCCACTTCTGATTGGTTCACTATATCAGTTATGGTCAATAAATCAATAAACGTTTAATTATCAACGTCTTCAGAGTGTACAGCATACTTTCATCTGTAATTCAACTAGAAATAAATGTGTTCATTTCTTCTTAATGCTAATAAAACGTGTTCATTGAATGTGTCAGTTAATCAAACCAATAAACTGTATGATGAAGAGTGTTGACAAACTATTTGCTGGTATTTTTTTATTGTAGTTCACACTACAAGTTAACTTTAGACAATTCTAACGAAACAATGAAATAGCTTTTTTCATTGTTGTATGACATTCCTAATTAGTGTACTTACATTCACAACTTTCAACAGGATTCTTTTATACCGAGACATAAACCCGGTACCGATCGCTTCAGACGTCATCGTGTTGTCCACTTAGCTATTGAGCCCAGATAGCCACTAGTCTGTTCAATGGAATGAAGTTTCCTTCATTCCTATCGGTTGTATGAATCTTTTTCATAGTTAATTAGAACGGCAATTGATCATTTTCATTTGGGATGTGCACTTCGTGTGCTGATTATCAGGACTCATTATCTAAGTGAATATGTTGGGGATGTTAGATGCCCAAAACTCGCTTGTTAAATGCCTTATTTTGGATTTCACGTTTGCCAGCATGAGCTGATCAGTTGACCTTGAGACTTCATTCCGCGCCAGGGAAATCCGTGGCTGTGATTGGCTGCTGTGTATTTTGGTGTGCTATTTTTGTGACTGTCTCAAGGACGTTTCTATGATGTATAAATAAACGAGAGATGTATGCTTGATTGTATTTTGTGATTGCTGGGTGTTTTTAGAATATACTTTCTACGCTTACAAAGCCTTTTATCTTCAGCTTGGGATTCAAGGTAGCTTATCTGGTCGCTGGTAATTGTCTCGTTCGCGTTTATCGACTAAGTTGAACTCGTAATAGCTTCAAGCGTACTTAGTGACGAACCCTACAGAATAACGCCATAGCATTTGAAGCGAATGGTACTGCGTTGCAGTCTCGCGTTGAACATCAACTGTAGAATGCTGGAGGTAAATCCAATTCCAGACGAGTCCCAAATGGTAGTAAACGTGCATCTTGAATTCCACTGCTAGGCTCTATCCATCGCTGAAATAATATTTGTGCATTTTAATGACAATATCAAGGTAATCCCCACAAAAACAGTACATATAGCAGAGAGACTAGTCACATGCAGTTCTAACTAGCAACGGTAAAATTCAAACAATAGATATATTTATTAAAATTGAAAGTTGATCAAAACAGTAGTTAAAACACTGATAAAATTCTAATCTTTTTATAGAAGATTTAATATGATTGGTATTCTATTCTTCTAGTGAGTGGTGATTTTCTCTTTGATTCTTATAAAACAAGTTTTTTTTAAAGGTTTATATTAATATTTCAGTCTTATGGGCAACAATCACTGTATAGCTGTTTATAATCTGTTGAACAGTATTCTATTTTCAATATACAATTGTGGATATTATTGAGTTTTATTGAAATCATGAATAAATCAATAAAAGATTTCCATTGAAAACTTAGAAGATCTGGATAGTCATTTCATCTTAATATCAGATGTAGTTTCACATTGCAGCTGATGAGTCTCACACTAGTACGAAACCTCCTTCAAGTAATAGTCTAATATTGATCAGTTCATGATTTCAATAGAAGTATTCTACCTAATTATTGATTTCAATGAAACCTATAGTCTCAACAACAAAAAATTAGTGAACCACTTTTCTAGGTCATAATGAAATATCTTTTGTA